GTACCCAGGTGCTTCATTCAATTCGATTCAATTCACATTCTCTTTTCTGAGCTCGATCCTAGATCCTCACACCCGCCACCACCCCCACCTCCACCCCCACCCCCTCCGCCGCCTCCACCGCCACCACCGCCGCCCCCGCCGTCTCCTCTAGCACCCTTGCCCCCCTTGCTCCTGCCGCTGCGGCGCCTCCCACTAGGAGCAGACGCAGCGCCGACCGACTCGGTGCCAACGAGGACGACAGCAGCAGCAGAGGCAACAGAGGGCAAAAGGTGGATGGAGGAGCACCCCTCAAAGAAAGGGGCACGAGGGTCACCACAAGAGGACCCTACAGCGACTATACTCTTCTCAGCTGCCAGGAGGCGCTCCTCGAGGAGGTCAATAGTGAGCGTGGTGGGGCAAAGGGAGAGAAAGTGGTCCCTGACCGAGCGAAGGGAGTCAGGGAGCCGGGTGACGAGGTAGTAGAGAGTGATGTACGTAGGGGTGTGGTTCTTGGCGCAAAACTCGGCAGGAAGCGCAGCGCGGTAGCGGGCGTCACTAGTGTGGAGGTGCGTAATGAGGTCAACGACTGTGGCAAAGGCAGCTAGGCCAGGGAACAGGTACGGCAGCATGAGGCGGCTAAGGGCAGCAGTGGCAGGAGAGGAGTAGCGCACAACAACAGCGTCGTACAGAGTCTGAGCAGTCTTGTACTGGCTAAAGTGCGCGCGCTCAGCAGACGGTAGGTGACTACGGACAGCAAGACGGGCAGCGGCATCGCGCGTGGTCCACTGTGAGCGAACTGCACTGTTAGCATCGGCAGCAGGTGCAACAGAGACGCTGGACGTGTGATCGAACAGTGAGACTCCGTCCCTAGAGTCGCACTGCAGAAAATGCTGCAGATCATCGACCCAGACCTCGAAATCGACTGCTTGACCCTCAGCATCGAAGGCAAGGACGTTAGGGCTAACCATGACAGCAGGAGCAGCAACAGTAGCCTAGCGGCAGCAGTAGCAGCAGTAGCAGCGCGGCTCGGCAGGGCGGCGCGGCTCGGCAGGGCTGCGCGGCTCGGCAGGGCGTCGCGGCTCGGCAGGGCGACGCGGCTAGGCAGAGCGGCGCGGCTCGGTAGGGCGGCGCGGCTCTGCAGGGCGGCGCGGGTGCGGCGGTGCGCTTACCTGTGGCGGGAGGGGAGGGTAGAGGCCACGACTGGAGGGGCAGGGCCGTGGCGCGCCGGCAGGGCAGGGGCCGCGACGCGGCTGCAGGGTCGGGGCCGCGTCAGGCAGGGCCGCAACGAGGCGGCAGGGCAGGGCCGTGATGGCGGGGCCTCAGCGGCGACTACGGCGGCGGTCGCACCGGCGGCTGCAGGCTCGACGGTGGCAGCAGGGCCGCGATTGCGGGTGCAGGGGCGACGGCCGCTGCAGGCCACGGGGCCTCGGCGGCTGCTGCAGGGTAGGGGGCCGCGACAGCGGTGCAGGGCAGGGGCCGCGACAGCGGCTGCACGTCAGGGGCCGCGAAGTGGGGCGGCAGGGCAGGGGGCCGCGACGTGCGGTTGCAGGGCAGGGGGCCGCGACGTGGGGCGGCAAGTCAGGGGCCGCGACGGCGGCGGCAAGTCAGGGGCCGCGACGGCGGCTGCAGGTCAGGGGCCGCGACGTAGGGCGGCAGGGCAGAGCCGCGACTAAGGGCGGCAGGGCAGGGCCGCGACGGCCGGCAAAGCAGGGCCGCGACGAGCGGCAGGGTAGGCAGGGCCGCTACGGGCAGGGCCGCGACGGCAGGGCCGTGACGGCAGGGTAGGCATAAGGCGCGCGATAGGGCAGGACGGCACGGGAGCGCGCTTCGGGCAGAGCATAAAAAATCGTGGTGGGCCCTCGAAAAAATAATTCGGTCCCACTAGGGAACCTGCTCAGAATACCATGTGAGAATAGGAATCAAGAATGACTAGAAACGTGACAGTACAAGGTTTGTATAGGCAAAACCTAACAATACTGTACCCCATAAGGAGTGCCCCACTACAGCCTACAATATAGTTCTGACAGCTGCTACCCGACGATTCGCGTATACACAACACCGTCCACGCCAACCTTCTTCGCAAGTTCGTGCCTCCCACGACCGACATAGCGTGCCGGAACGCCGCCCTGACAAAACGATCTGTTGTAGAACCGACACTCAACCCGCCCAAGATTTTGGCGCACCGTGTTCGACTCGATGCATCCGGCCGCCACATGGATTCCTTAATCTGTTGGACTGATCGCATCAGTGAAGACACTTAGGTGTCATCCGCCTCGCTTGAAGCGTCCCTGCTCGTTGGTGATTATCTCGCCCGCGAGCAGGCTGTGGATACTGGCCATCTTTTTTAAAAGGGTGGGGGGGGGGGGGGGAAGTGTAAGGTTTTTTTTTTCCCGAATTTATTATCGGGGTTGATTGCTACGCGTACGGCCCAATTTTTTAACTCTGCACGTCCGGCTGACATCAACGATGCAGAGGGTCGCCTTTGGCTCTTCGATCGCCAAACCTGCACCCAACCTCATTTCCTGAGGATCCCTCCTAGCTAGGGTAGTCACTATATTAGCGCGTGCCTTCATTGTATTGTTAGTTCATTCAGTCACGGTCTCATTATTTGTTATCCCGCGCACTCTCTTTTACAACTCATAACACAGTGTGTTCTCCAGCCATAGCTTCCTCTATATTTTAGCTATAATTGCATCCATTCGGTTGATTGCAAAAAGAGGACCCTAACAAGCTTATTTTTCAAATTATAGATTCTTACACTCTTGGCTCCTATTCGACAAGATGCCCAAGCAACAAGCTTTTAGTAGAAAATAACTAAAATTTGTAATGTACTTAACTCACCTCAAAGGGCCCCTTTCTCCAGCATGAATCTTCTAACTGACTTTGTCCCTCCCTTGTTCCTCCACTATATCCGCACAAAACCCCCTCCTTATTGCACTTTCATACCTTTCCAACTCTTTGGAGACAACTTTTAGAAGGGAGGATGCAAATGTTGCACCGATCAACACGAGTCAAATTTGTGACGAAGAAAGTGGCACGTCATTAATTGCCCTCGGTTCACAAAATTACCCCACAATGTGAAAATAGACGTGGTAAGGAAGTGTAGAGAATTTATGCGTCGCTATGTTGCGGAGTGAGGATATTGTGGGCTGGGTGTACTGTATCTGTGCTGTTGTGTGAAACGCCGCCCTGTCAAATCTCAAGTTGCACGCATGGGTTGGAAAACTCGCCCGACAGACAGTTCAGTCCAATTCCACGATAAGTTTGACGCACCACAGACATCGGCGCAAACAAGGTCAACAGATTCACCTGAGACCAAATATATACTTTCTGTTTGCATGTACCCTGAACAATTTCCACCCCCACTTCCCGACGAACTCGATGGTTCACCTCCGCGAAATCAATGTATCAGGCCTTGAGTAGCCACGCAAGTACAATGAACCCTCTACAAGCTTGTTGTTATTATGGCGTGTACAAAGTGCTGCAAAAACTCGACGTCGAGGACGTCGGTGAATCCTGACGGTAGGAATTTCTTATCCGACGGTCGAAATTCACCGACGTCCTCGACGTCGAGCTGGTGCAGTACTTTGAACACCCTTTTACAGCACAAGGTTGTATAAAACCGCGAAACTAACCAGACAGTCTATAATGTTCAGTTCAAACTACAGTAGTGCCTTGCCCTGCTAGCCAGCGGGAAGTTCAAAACGGAGTGCAATAGCCACTGCTCAGTGCCTGCTCCCGTATGTCCATCCAAGAAGACGTAAGAACGTCTGCCCAGTGTCACTTGCGTCATGGAGACCGGACAGCACGACCGGAAAAAGAAACACTACAGTATACAGGTCAGGAAGAGTGGGCGTAGAATTTACACCTGATGCCCATTTCAGTCCCGTTCCCCATCTTTCTCTGTGCTCCTCTTTCGAGCACGCGCTCGCTACGGGGAGAATGGGACTGTATCTGGGTAGCCCAGCGTGTCTTGTCTGGGAAACTCGAATAGCTTATTCGAGGTCAATCATATCTTAGTTTTGTCGTGGGCTAGTAACGCGCGGGCCGTTGGCTGTGAATGTCGACCACTGGAGTGGCAGTGGGCGTGTTCAGAGTGGGCGGTTGAGTGAGCATTAGGGTGTAGTGAGTCGTGTTTCGAGGTTTTTTTTTTTTTTTTTTTTGATGCAAAGATACACTATAAGTGCAACAATACATCGGCAGTCGTAACTGTAGCTGATGGGCTTAGGGGGATTGCTCCCTCCGTACCCATCCTGACCATCTAAGGGGGGCGGAAGGCAGCCCTCGGGTTCGACCAGATTGCCATGAACCCCTTGGACCACGTGGCTGGTTGAGCTGAGTTGTCCATGATGTGGCCCAAGACCCGGCACTCGTCATCATCCAAGCCAGGACGAATGGCGCCGAGCCTCTTAGACACCGCCTTAGCACGCTTGTAGATCCTGACATGCAGTTGGAAAGACGCCACGATCCTCCGCAGAGCCCTCCTCGCCCGAAATTTGCTGCGCTCGAAAACCGCGTCACACCTCTCGACCCAAATCCGGTGGAACGCGATTGCTGCGATCGTAGCCTCGGGGAACCCCGAAGCTGTACCCTCCTTCTTGAAAAACACATCCCCCAGAGACTCAATTTTCCGATGCGGATTCAGCATGCGGAGAGCCTTCAAAAGCACAACACTGTACAGCACCTAAAAAAATTCAACTGAGGAGGCCCCTCCAATCTTTGTGCAGTACAAAAAAAAAATCTCGTGTACAGTATGGCAAGTGTACAGTACAGTCTGTGGGGTGGGACAACAGCAGGGTGTTTAGAAGTCGTTTGTCAGCTCTTCCTTGTTTGCTTGCTCGTTTCTCGAAACACATTGCTCTCACGACAACGCCAGCCTACTACATAGCAGCCTACTACATACCAGCTTCTCTTTCAGAGGCTGGAAATACTAGTTGGCTGAGGCGAGTGATAGTTAGTCCAACCCATCTCTCACGTTCAAGACTACCACTTTCGTGCAGCCTCCATAATCAGCCGTAGGCATGCCAGCTGCAGAGTCGTCCAATCCCGTCATAGTCCTCCTTCCGGATGGCTCTATTCGTTTGTATCATGAGCCACTGCTGCAGGTTGCGGACGTTTTGAGAGGCTTCCCCTGTCATTCTCTCGCGTCGCTCAACCAACCACTTCAAGAAAATAGCGCCGCTGATCCTATAGCCGGGGCGACACGCTCTACAGCTGCAGCAGACAGCCATTCCCCCAAACCTGCCTCCATTAATGTCATCCCACCGCCGGTCGCGGCAGCTGCGGCTACTGCAAGCAGCAGCGGCGGGTCCCCAGTTGCAGGAACATCCGCGGGGCTCCTTTTCCCCGCCGCCTCTGCGCCCAAACCTCCGCGGGAGCCGGCCGTTCCCGCGCCCCTTCCGCGGGATCAGTTTCTGCAGCCGGGCGGGACGTACGCGCTGTTCCGCCCTGCGGCTCTCGCGCGCGCTGCGTCGGCCGCATTTGCGGAATCTTCCTCGAGTTCCTTGCGATTTGAATGGATTACGGATTCGCGCTCAGACCATTCACGTGCCACCTCCGGCGCTATGGGGCGCCGCGAAGCGCCGATCCAAGATCCGAGGTTAATCAAGGCGACGCGGCATCATGAGCCTCCAGCCGACGTTACTAGATCTGCGCGTGCCGACTCGGAATGGGAGCCAGATGATGACGTCATGCGTGCAATGATCCCCCCGGCCGCCGCTGTTAGCTGCTTCATGCCCGTTTCCTCCCGCAAGCCTGATTCCACGACGGAAGATCCGCAACGCGTCGCGGACGACGAGGCGCAAGGCGCCGGTGCCGCGTCCAACCACCCGTGGTTCGCGGCGGCGGCGGCGGCGACGCGGTTGTTTCGAGCGTCGTCAATGCCGTCAGGAGGCGCCGGCGGCGTAAGTGCCAGTTTAACGGCGACCTCGCCTGTGCTTGTGGCTTGTGAAGCGACCAGCACGGACAGTCCGACCGAACACGCTGCGGCTGCAAACACAAGCACTGACATTACTAATCGTTGTAGTGACGCAACAACTGTCTCCGCCGTTAATTCCAGCGCGGCGGAGTCGTTTCCCGAAACTAATACCGCGGCCTCGCTTCGTCGCACGCGGAGCAGCGTCGGTCGCATCGCCGATGCCGCACCCACCGCGGGTTCCGCAGCTGCCCCCCCCGCGTACCTTCCCGCGCAAGCTTCCGCCGCGCCCCTCATCTCTCCGCGCGGTCTGCTCTCCGCCTCCTCGCGGAAGCTCGTCCGCGCGCTCACGGCGCTGCCCCGCCCGCGCCTCTCGCGGAACAGCGACGTCCGCGCCGCGGCGGACCGCAGATTATCCACGTTCCTCGCAGCCTACGACGGCAGAACCGGCGGCAACGGCGGCGGCGGCGGCGGCGACGGGGGAGGGGACGCAGCAAGCAGAGGCGGTTGTTGCGACGGCGGAAGCAGCAGCTTCTCAGAGGGAGCGGGGCCGTGGTCTTTAATAGACTTTCTCTCGCCGAGAGAAAAGTCGGCGGAGGGGAAGGTCAAGCGGGGCTTTGAGCTCCCCGCTTTCCGCGGAGATTCGAGCGGCGCGAAGGGAGCCGTGGATGGCGCCACTACCACCGTGGGTAGTAGCGGCAAGGGGAAGGGCCGTGGCGCGCGCGAGAGCAACGAGGTGGCGGCGAGCGCGCTCGCCGCCGCCGCCTTCACGAGCGACTGGGCGAGCCAGATGGCGGAGTTCATTGGCGCGAGCTCCGCTTCTTCCGCTTCTGCCGCTTCTGTTTCTTTCTCTGCTTCTTCACTGTTCAGCGCTAGTAGCGGCGCGGCAAGAAATCAAGCATTTATTGCTGAGCGACAGCAAAGAGTCGACCTGAGAGTGCAGGATCGCTGCAGCGCGCCGACTGCCACGGAGCAGGAGAGCAGGGCCAGCAGCGTCGGTCGGCGGGGTGGCACTGGCAGCGGCGGGGGAGGCGGCGGCGGTGGGGGCGGGCAGGGGAACGGACCGTGGGGGGCAAGACGGGCGTTCAGTGGGCTGCTGCTGCCAGTGGCGGTGTCGTCCGGTGTGGCGGAGGAGGCAGGCCGAGGCAATGGCGATGGTCGTGCTGCTGCGAAGGTTGCTAGTGCAGATGCGGGTAGTGGCAGTTCATGGCATGGTGGGATGACTCGAAGCAGGAGCTCGACGAGCGTGAGGGAGAGCAGCAGTTACGGCACTGAGGACGGGAGTGGCAGTAGCAGTGGCAACGGCAACAACAGCAGCAGCGGCAGTTTTAACAGATTTAGAAGCAACAGCATGCGGAGCAACAGCAACAGCGGCGGCGGCGGCAGTGGCAGCGGCAGCAGCGGGAGGTTGCAGTCGGGATCTCAGAGGTTAGCCCAGTTCAAGTCGCTGCGCCTGCAGGTGGCACGTCCCTCGGGTGCTGCTGTGATGGGCGAGCACGGGGAGATGCTAGATGCCGTGGGACCCAGAACCACAGGCTCAAGGAGTTCTGGCACTGGCTGGGCGTTCAGTGCGGGTGAAAGGAGTGGAGATAAGGCGAATGCAGGAGCCAGGGTTGGAGGGGCTGGGGGCTGGCAGGCAGGGAGCTTCTCGACAGGCAGCAGCGGGGGAGGCACATTTGGGGTAGGCATAACCGGTAGGGATGGAGTGGCAGCTGCATGGGAAGCCCTCGGTAGCAGCAGGTCTGGTGTGCGAGGGGCGCGTGAGGAAAGGGACGGGTTTCTGAGGTATGCAGGGGAGAGGGGTGGAGCCGGGAGTGGTGAAAGCGAGAGAGCCGGTGAAGGTGCGACGCGAGATGGTGGGGCTTTCAGGGAAGGACTGCGCGTGAGGGATGGTATGAGGTATGGTAGGGCTGCTGTTGATGGGTCTAGTGCTGTAGGGCAGATCTCGACTACCACCACAAGCCCTACATCTCCTGGGCATGGCTCCTCATGGGTGATGGACTGGTTCTCTCCCAGTGTGCTCTCCGCGCCCTCCACGCCGAGACCACTGTTACCACGACCGGCCGTGGTCACCCCTCCGTTAACCATGATACCAAGAGGATCGCCCACGGAGGCGTTCAGAGCACCTCCTCTTGCGCCACCAGTGAGAGTGATCTCCTCTTCTTCCTCTACTACAAGCCCTAGCATGTCACTTGCTTCCCCAGGCGCCGCCATTGCGCAAGTTTCTCCCAACTCGTTACAAACGGCCCCTGATGCAGTGCAAGGTGACATGGGACCAAACCAACAGGGCTACAGCTCCTTAACTGATAAGCGAGTTCCGTCTGCTTTACTTGTTTTTCCGTAGCCTGTACATGTCACGGAGAAGTTTAGCACTGTGTAGAATCGATGCACATGTTGCTTAAAACCAGAATATAAAATAATGGACCCTGTCCCAACTTGAAATGGTGCTCCAGAGAACGGGCCGATAGAGCACTGTTCCAAAGAAAACGAGCAGGGGCTTGAACAAATGTGATTGGCTTTCGCCAATCTTGTGCTGTCTTGTTCCCGCCAAAATGTTTTTCCATCCGGATCTCCCTCGTCGCACGTTCTCGTGCTACACCTGCACGATGGTTGCCCGGCGATGGTTTCCGTCGCCAGGCCAACGTTGGTTTCAAGTTGGAACTGGGTTTCATGACCACCTGCTCACCATCCCGAAGTCACTAATTATATTCCTAGCATAATTTAGCTGGCAACAATAGGTGTTTGTGGCCAAGGTAGGTATCGCGCTCGACCCTCCAGGAATGCGTAAGACTGTCGCGTAGCATAGTATCGTAAGAATTTCCCCTCCGCAGGCTTTCGTTACCTTTCCGCATGGGCTAGTTTCCTGTATCGCGCCTTCGCCATCGCGCTTTCGTCCGATGTCCGTTCCCCTCCCATCACCTTCGCGGGTCTCTCTCCTCCCCCCCCGTCGCCTTCTATCTTCCCTCCCTCCCCGTCACCCTCGCTCTCCCCTCCCTTCCTGTCGACAAGTTTTCTCCCTGTCGCCTTTCCCATCGTCGTCCTCGTCGACGGTTGCTCTCTCCCTGAAATGCCCGCCTCCTAACGCCTTTCTTCTCTCCCCTCCCATCGCCTGCTCGCTCTCCCTCCCGTCGCCTTCTTCTCTCCCCTCCCGTCGCCTGCTCGCTCTCCCTCCCGTCACCTTCTTCTCTCCCCTCCCGTCGCCTTCGCGCTCTCTCCCCCGTTGCCTTCGCGATCTCCCTCCCGTCGACTGCGCGCTCTCCCTCCCGTCGCCTTCGCGCTCTCTCCCTCGTGGCCTTCTCGCTCTTCGTCCCATCGCATGGGCGCTCTCCCTCCCGTCGCCCTTGCAATTTCCCCTCTCTTCCCGTCGCCCACTTCATCTCCTATCGCTCACGTCCTCCCTTCCCGTCGGCATCGCGCTCACGTTCCTCCCTCCACTCGACATCGCCCTCACGTCCTCCCGTCCCGTCGTTCGCCTCCTCTCTCCCATCCCGTCGTTCGCCTCCTCTCTCCCATCCCGTCGTTCACCTCTTCTCCCCTCCCACCCCATCGTTCGCTTCCTCTCCCCTCCGATCCCGTCGTTCGCCTCCTCTCCCCTCCCATCCCGTCGTTCCTCCTCTCTCCCCTTTCTTCCCGTCGCTTTTGCACTCTCCCCTCCCATCCGCTTTTGCCAAACTTATTTTCTCCACCCTTTTTTTTTTAACTTCTTTCAGCCCCAAGTCCAAGGATACGTATTTTAGCGCAGCTCTGCTCTCATCTCTTGCATATGGGTGTGTGCTGGATTTTCCCTGTGTTGTTGATTGATGTGAGTTTTGGTGAAGTCACATGAGCGCTCGAGTGAATACAGGCATTGCAACCCCTTGCGCCAAATTCGCACACAAGTATGTGTGAGTTGTGTGTGAGTTTCGCTGCCAATCAGAATTGTACACATGGTCAAAATGTTCTCCGTTCACAATGAGACTCGTATGGAGTGGAAAAATAAAAAGCACAGCACTTCCAACTTTCCGAAGTGTTCCAAAAAAACTCTGTTTTCCAGTGGACCCAACTAGAAGGGGGGGGTCACTATTTTAGCTGCTGGCTTTAACTTACAGTAGGTAGCTGACTTGGCCCTAACACTACCCATGTCCTAATCTGTATTTCTGATTATAATGTGCCCGTATTCTTCCTCTGACAGGCAAAAAGCTAACCTTCTCAATGAAAACAACGTTACTACAAGGTAAATACCAAATGTTGTTGGGTTCCCACAGCCGCTTTATCAGGCAAACCTCTTGTCGGACTTGTGCGCAGGGCCTATGTTATCAGAAATTTTTGGTCTGAATTTCTGGATTCTGAACACATTTTTACTGGTTCATCTGATGTCGTAGACATGCTGTTTAATTTCGTCTGATTTTTAAGAGAAGCTTTTTCTATTCATCTGATTTCTCAGACAGCCTTATACAATTCGTCTGAGACTGCAGACATCGAGTTTTTTCTCGTCTGAAATCGACAAATTCCCCCACCTGGCCAGTTGCTCACCTGGCTAGTTGGCCACATGGCTTGTTGCCCAATGTTACGGACGAGACTTGCCACCCGCCGCGTTCTCATGCTGCCACCGCCAGGCTATACATTGCCTCTGGTCGGTGACAACACCGCACGTCAAATGCGCTGCAATCACCCCGCTGGCACGAATGTTGCCAGTTCGATGGCATATTCATGCCAGCGCACGGCAAAAGGCTGCATTTTCAACACCGACAGCCCTCAGTGCGCGTCGAGTCAGCAAGATATGGATGGCAGCTTCCAGCAGAGATGGGGACGTTCATGCATGCGGCTCGGTTCGGACGATCCCCCCTCACTCCCCACATCACCAGGGGTCCTTCATCTTACCCTCGTGGGCCAGAGCCAGACAGTGCGTAGTTCCACCGCGATGGCCTCAGACTCTCGCACAAAGGGCCCCTCCAGCATCCACTCTGCATGCTTCACCTCCTTCCAGTGCGTTGCCACGCCCATGCACTGGCTTGGATTTCCTTTCCGGGGGGTGTTTCACCCCTACTCCAGTCTCAGCTGCTCCTGTTGCTCCTTCGGTCTGTAAGAATGAGAAACCTGATTCTCCCGAACAGCCTTACCATTTCGCTGAGATGGATGCCGAGCCGCTTATATAATTTTCACCCATACGATCACCAAGCTCAACAAGCCACCCTGGGGGTTCGTCATCCGGTTAACCTGTCGCATCTGCTTTACCTGGTGAAAACAATCCCTTCAAATCCCGCTCCCCGTTCCTTCCGCCGCGGTTTCCAGGCAATACTAAATATGTGCAACATAAGCTGTCTTTTTCGAAGCGCCCAAGCCTTTCCTCTATAAGGAATCCCACTTCTACGGACGATGGAGGGGAGAGCCGTGGAGCAGAGAAGACCCCTCCCTGGATTCTGACGCTAGCGGACCTGCAGCTAAAAGCCAAGGAGCAGTGGAATCGCCACTTCCCTTGGCTTATCATCGGTGACACCTCCGAAGGTCGACCTTGCATGAGGTGCAAGATCTGCATGGTGTACGCAGATCCGGAGTCACAGTCCGACGCTCGGGGCGAGGGAGGCATCGTGTGTCTCTTCACCCATGTCTGTTGACGTGTGTCTCTTCTGCAGCTCCGACTTCACAAGGGCGAGAGCCTCAGTGTCAGCAGTGGCAAAGACCAAGTCGTCGACGTACACGAGGATGTAGAACGTGGGCAACGAAGTGCCGGTGCGCAGAAACAGCGACGGGTTAGTAGTGGAAAGTGCAAACCCAAGAGCCGCAAGTGTCGTCATCAGTGTCGTGCCACTCACGAGGCGCCTGACGGAGACCGTAGACTGGCCGGCGGAGGCTCCACTGGGTACCAGGAGGGAACGACCCAGTGAAGCCAGGTGGGCGGCGCAGCCAGATCTCCTCGTGCAGACTTCCCTGTAAGAACGCTGTGCTGAAGTCCAGAGAGTGAAGCTCGTAGTCACGCTGAGCGGCAACGTGCAGCAGCACCCGAAGAGTGGTCATCTTCGGGGTGGGGGAGAAGGTCTGGAAGAAGTCAACTCCCTATCGCTAACTGAAGCCTCGTGCAACATAACGAGCCTTGAAGACAGGCGGAGAACCCGGCGGCCGCTTCACCCTGAAAATCCACATGCCATCGACTACGTTCGCCCCAGGAGGGGAAACTGCGTCGACGTAAGTGCTTGTGGACTTCCAGGATGCCATCTCTGCGTCCATGGCTGTCTGCCACTAAGAGGAGTACTCACCCGCGATTGCCTCAGCGTAAGAGCGCGGGGTCGGGATGTCTGGTGCATCCGGGTCTCCCTCAGGGGCAAGCAGCATGGCTACGAGATGAGGCGCAGCGGCTGCAAGACACTCAAAGTCCTCCTGCCTGTCCTCAAGGACGTCCATGCCAAGAGCACACTCACCCTCGACGGACGGAGGACAGACAGACTCAGACTCAGCAACAAGACTAGCAGCGAAGTCTAGATGACAGGCAGAAGCAAAGTCAACAAGCTCAGAGACTAAGGCAGACGCAGCAGCAGACGCAAACGACGGGTCAGTGACAACAGTGGCTAGCAGACGCGTCATAGTGGGGTGAGCAGCACGAACCAGGTCAAACTCAGGGTCCTGAACGTCAGGCAGAGAAGACGCAGGAGGAGACGGCAGGGGAACACGCTGTGGAACAGAGGAAGGACGAAGTGCCATAGCGTGCGTGCCAGGGACAGGAGGCGGACGCTCACGAGGAACACGACTACCAGGGCGACGCGCGCGAACAGGCGAGGCAGGACGAGACGCAGGCTCACGACGCTCTGTAAGCGAGTTTGTTTGCTCAGTGTAAGGAGAAGGAGCAGGCAGTGGTGCGCCGGACTGTAACGGGAGGCCAGTAGAAGACGGGAGGCTAAGAACCTGGCGAAGCACAGAGTCAGGCGGTGGGAGTGACGACGGTGATGGCGGCGCGAAAAACAGTCGCGGCGGTGCAAGGCCACCAGTACCAGTAGCTCCAGCGCCTCCAGCAGCTCCAGAACCTCCATCCCCAGGGCCTCCAGCAGAAGCACCTCCAGCTCCAGTGACTCCAGCAGCAGCACCTCCAGCTCCAGCGCCTCCAGCAGCTCCAGAACCTCCAGCTCCAGCGCCTCCAGCAGCAGCACCTCCAGCTCCAGTGACTCCAGCAGCAGCACGTCCAGCTCCAGCTCCTCCAGCAGCTCCAAAACCTCCAGCTCCAGCGCCACCAGTAGCAGCACCCCCAGAACCGGCACCTCCAGCCCCAGGGTCCCCAACTCCAGAGTCGACAGTACCAGCTCCAGGGCCTCCAGCAGCAGCACCCCCAGAACCGGCACCTCCAGCTCCAGGGTCTCCAACGCCAAGGTCGACAGCACCAGCTCCAGGGCCTCCAGCCCTAGTACCTCCAGGAGTAGTACCAGTTCCGGCAGCTCCAGTACCTCCAGTACGAGCACCTCCAGGACCAGAGACACCAGCACTCCCAGCGCCTCCACGACAAGCAGCTCCAGCAGCACGACTCCTCAGGCGGGTACGCGACGCAAGCCACTCTCGTGCCTGCTATGGTGAGACAGGCCCGCGTCGTGAAACGAGACCCAGAGGAACGCCAGCAGACTCAGCACCCCCCGACCCGGCACCATCCGGCTCAGCACCCCTAGACTCCGCAGCCGCAGGCTCAGCACCCCCAAGCTCCGCACTCCCCAGCACCTCACGCGCAAGCTTAGCACCCCCAGACGCAGCACCCCCAGCAGCACCTCCCACAGCAGCACCCTATATATAGTTTGACACAAATGCGCTGCAGTCACCCCGCTGGCACGAATGTTGCCAGTTCGTTTGGCATATTCATGCCAGCGCACGGCAAAAGGCTGCATTTTCAACACCAACAGCCCTCAGTGCGCGTCGAGTCAGCAAGAGATGGATGGCAGCTTCCAGCAGAGATGGGGACGTTCATGCATGCAGCTCGGTTCGGACGATCCCCCCTCACTCCCCACATCACCAGGGGTCCTTTATCTTACCCTCGTGGGCCAGAGCCAGACAGTGCGTAGTTCCACCGCGATGGCCTCAGACTCTTGCATAAAGGGCCCCTCCAGCATCCACTCCGCATGCTTCAACTCCTTCCAGTGCATTGCCACGCCCACTCACTGGCTTGGATTTCCTTACCGGGGGGTGTTTCACCCCTACTCCAGTCTCAGCTGCTCCTGTTGCTCCTTCGGTCTGTGAGAATGCGAAACCCCATTCTCCCGAGCAGCCTTATCCTTTCGCTGAGATGGATGCCGAGCCGCTTATACCATTTTCACCCATACAATCACCAAGCTCAACAAGCCACCCTGGGGGTTCGTCATCCGGTCAACCTGTCACATCTACTTTACCTGGTGAAAACAATCCCTTCAAATCCCCGCTCCCCGTTCCTTCTGCGGCGATTTCCAGGCAAGACTAAATATGTGCAACATAAGCTGTCTTTTTCGAAGCGCCCAAGCCCTTCCTCTGTAAGGAATCCCACTTCTACGGACGATGGTGTCAGAGTTATATGACATAGCTACTGTAGGCTATAGTGGGGTAGCACATATGGGGTACAGTTGCCTAGGGTTTGCCTTTTGTACCCAACTTTCACTTAGTCATTTCATTCCTGTTTTCTTGATTCACATGGTATAGAGCGGGTTCCTACATGGGACCGTTCCTTCCTAAGGGCCCACCATAAGAATTTTTTTTTTTTTAGCTGCCCGCGCACATTGCGCCCTGCCCTAATTTTTTTTTTTTAGCGGCCCCTACG